CAGAGGCTGCCTGGTTGCAGGTGGGGGATGGGACAGATGTGCCAGGACCCAGGGCTCCTCCGTGTGAGGTAGATGGTGCCCGGGCAGCAGAGGGGTGGGGGCTCCTCCACCCCCAGCTCCAGGTGGGGTCTCCGATGTCCCAGGCCAGGCCTGGGTGGTGGTGGTGGGTGCTCCTGCATCTTGCTTGGGAGGGCCATGCCTAGGTCTGACCTGGTTGCAGGTGGGGGATGGGACAGATGTGCCAGGACCCAGGGCTCCTCCGTGTGAGGTAGATGGTGCCCGGGCAGCAGAGGGGTGGGGGCTCCTCCACCCCCAGCTCCAGGTGGGGTCTCCGATGTCCCAGGCCAGGCCTGGGTGGTGGTGGTGGGTGCTCCTGCATCTTGCTTGGGAGGGCCATGCCTAGGTCTGAACCCTTCATGCCTCCATTGGGGCTTAGCATCTCCCTGTCCCCTCCCCTCCCCGCCCCATCCTGGAGCCGAGTGGTGGCCTCTGCCTTTTCCTCGAGTCCCTGAGCACACTTGTCCACAGCACAATTCGGGTGGTTTGGAGCACAATTGCAAAGCACATCCCCTCCTCTCACCTGGGACCCAACTTTCTCTCTAGTGGCAGCTTCTCCCTGGAACGGGGTTCCTGGAGTTCAGGGCCCTTGTCCAGGAAGCCTGGCACCTGGGAAAGAGATCATTCCACTGCCCTTTTGGGCTGCCACTCCCCCTCTGTAATGTAAGCACAGCTACCCAGTCCATGGTGGTCGGGGCCACAGACAGTGCTGTGGACGCTGAAGGCAGCCAAGGGGAGGGGCTGGGTGTCTGTGCCCCACCCCCACTCTTCCCTTCTGCCTACCCTGGAATAGAACCTGACCAGAGAACAACTGCCTGCAGAGTGATGGATGGACCAATGGAAGGAAGGATGGATGGATGGATGATGGGTGGATGGATAGATGGATGATGGGTGGGTGGGTGAGTGGATGGACCAATGGAAGGAAGGATGGATGGATGGATGATGGGTGGGTAGATGAGTGGATGGATGGATGGATGGACCAATGGAAGGAAGGATGGATGGATGGATGATGGGTGGCTGGATAGATGGATGATGGGTGGGTGGGTGAGTGGATGGATGGATGGGCCAATGGGAGGATGGATGGATGGATGGAAGATAGGAAGGAAGGAAAACTGGCTGGGACAGCAAACCTCTTTGAGAGCTGTGGTGGGCAGGGAGGGCCCAGGCCTGGGCGCCATGACAGAAGGTTCTGAGTCACTTGTGACTCTGACTGCTCTCAGCACTGGGGGGCAAGGGGAGGACAGACTAGGCCCAGGTTCCCTCCTTGGCCCCTTAGTTTCTTGTGCCCCCGCTCTTGCCTGGGGATCCATCCCCCCGCTCCACAATCTCCCTTATTCGCCCCTACCTCCTCCCCTTTCTGGCCTCTCAGCCCCCCTGCCCTTCCAGTGAGGGGAGAAGGAGGCCCACGTCTCCCCAGAGACATGAGCCTTTGGGGCATAATAGGCCGCCTTAGGCCCCTCCCCTGACACCACCTCCTACCGGGCCCCATGCCTAGTCCCACCAGCTCAGCAGCAGGAAGAGCAAGGCCCAGGAGAGACATGCTATATATACTCCTCTGTGTATTCTATTTCTATTGTATATGCAATCTGTACATGTGGGTGTAAATGCTGTTAAAGGACAACCCAATATACTGTGGCTGCCGGACTATTTTCACCCTCAGTGCTGCACAGATCTATTTTCATTGTATATTTGATATATTTTTAATTTTGTAGCCTGTGGCCGGGCCAGGCCCCAGCCCACCAGCCTGGGACAGGGGCGTGGTCCCTGCGGGCTGGCTCGCTCCTAGCCTTTGGCTGCGGCCGGGCCTGTCCGGCTCTCTCTCTGCTGTGTTAGTCGTAGGGCCCAGAGCTTGGTGCGCGTGCGTGTATGTGTGTGATGTGTGCACATACGTGTGTGTGGGTGTGTGTGGGTGCTGATTTGTGAACCCCAGTGTCCCCCATGTCCTGAAGACCCCGCTGCCCTCCCTGCTCCCCCTCTCCTCTCAGCCAGGCCCCCAGGGCTGCAGGAAGCCCCTGCTGTGGGGGAAGCGGGCCATCCTTGCTGGTGCCATCACTGGGCTCCCAGAAACGGAAGGAAGGAGGGGCCTTGGGGATGGAGCCCCTCCGATGCATTTTCCAGTCACCTTCTCGCTGTCTCCACGGGAGTCACAAGCTCTTCATCCTGACAAAAGTCCAGGCTTCTTAAGCGGGTGAGACACCCCCCTCCCCAAGAGGGCCCCTCACAGCGCCCTGCCCTGCATTGGTCTCAGAGGTCCTGACCGTGTTCCGAAGGGACCTGCGGCCTGTCGCCTGCGCTGTTGACACACACACCTTCGCACTCCTCAGTGGGCGAGGCTGGGGCAGGTGGGGCCTCTGATGAGGGAAGATCCAGCCTAGGCTTCCTGGGGGAACAGGAGGGGGGCCTACATCCCGGCACAGGGTCCCCAACCCCCACTAGCACCGCAGGAGACGGCGACTCCAGGGCGGGTGTGCCTGAGAGAGTCCCTGGTCCCTGCCCCTCAGCCTGATCACCAGCTTCTTGCTCAGGGAGCCGACCCGCTGAGGCAGCTTGAAGCCCCAGGCCCAGAGCGGGCGACAGTGGGGCTCACGAGCTGATCCCACTGAGCCCGGCTTTGCCCTCCAGCAATAAATCTGCAGAGACTGTTGCTTTCCTAGTGCCGGAGGCGCCTCCTGAGCCAGCCGGCACGGCCTGAGGCTGGGGGCCGGAAGCTGTGTGCTCCCAGGCCGGCAGGGCTAGCGTTACAGGCAGGGGCCGCCCTCTGCCCGTCCTCACAGCCACACCCCTGCCACTGCCTCCCCACAGAGAAGAGACTGAACCTGTTGGAAGGCACCTGGCGCCCTGAGCATCCACGAGGCCCCAAAACTGGGGACCTACTGCCTCTTCCCTGAGGCCTAACGACGGGGCTGGGGCAGGGCCCAGGGTCCCTCCTCACCCCAAGCGCTGCTTGGTACAGGCCCAAGTGCAGACAGTGAGCATCACTTTAGGTCCTGGCGCAAGTTCATGGCTGGCAGAGCCCTGGGTAGGTCAAGACCACTCAGCCCAGGGGAGGGGACGAGGCATTGTCACCCTGGAGCCCCCTTCCTCTCTACTCCCCCCATGGTGTGCAATAAAGTGTCTGTTCTTACCAACCCCCTCTTGCCTTTCTGACCTGCCAGGATCAGGGATGGGATTGGGCAGCGTTGGGGTAAAAGCTTGGATGGGATGCTGTGGGAGCTGTGGGTGTGGCTGGCTGGCTGGGACTTGGGGAGGAGGAGGAGGGACATGTATTTATTCTCCAAGAATTGTCTAGGTGTCCTTGTAGCAGGCCTTATTGGGCTCCAAGGACTCTACACGTCCACTCATGGGATGTTCGCAACAGCTGTCTGAGGAAGACAGTTGACCTTTGAACAACACAGGTTTGAACTGGACGGCACCACTTATACTTGGGTTTTTCCCAATAAATATACAGCTGGCCCTTCATACCCATGCGTTTCCCATCTATGAATCCAACCAACAGAAGACAGAATTTTAAAAATATATATTTTTATTGATTTCAGAGGGGAAGGGAGAGGGAGAGAGAGAAACATCAGTGATGAGAGAGAAGCATTGATCAGCTGCCTCCTGCACACCCTACGCTGGAGATCAAGCCCGCAACCCGGGCCTGTGCCCTAACCGGGCATCGAACCGTGACCTCCTGGTTCCTAGGTCGACATCGGCAGCTGGGAAGCCTGACGCACTGCCCTGTGTCCCTTTCTATAAGGACCCAACTCCACTGGGGTTGTGACTACCCTGTTCAAGGCCGGCTTGGTGGTTGTCCACTTGAGGAACATGAGGCTCCATCGACGTGAGGACGGTGTTTGGTGTCCACTTCCCGGGCTTTGAAGGGGAAATCCCTGCCCTGCCTTACTGCCAGGAAGAGCTCTGCCTGCCAGCTCTGCGAGGGGGAGGGGGTGGGGGGAGAC